AAAAAGATTTTAAGGCTCAAAATATTTGGTGCCCACCCATTCTTCATGATGTTCTCCAACCTTATGTTCAGTTAATTCAACATGAGTGTTCATCTCTCAAAAGGATTTTGTGACGGTTAGGGAAACGACGAGGCTTTCGGAGTAGAAACCACCCTCATGGCTTCGTGTTTGTAGTCACCAATTTGTTCTTTGCTGAGGACTTTTCTTTGCAGTCCTTTTCTTTGCAATTTTTATTTTCCCTAACTTTTGCCTGAACTAATTTTTTGAATTGATAGTCCAGCGGGATGCCTTAGTTTTTGCCTAAGTCGTAAGTTTTCATGTTTTTGACTTAGCAGGCTTTTTCTTTTTCTTGATTTTTGGCTTTTTGAACAAAATGTGTGACATTAGCTTGTCTTTGCTTGTTGAGAGGATTGTGATTGCCTCGTTTCTTGATGAATGAGGGATAACATTGTGGTTCCACATCCTCTAGATTCATTATACATGAAGGATAACCCTCGTAGTTTCTCTTCAAAAAACATCTTCCTTATGAATTTTGAACACTCAGTCAGATTAACTAAAAACTACCCTGCCCCAGGTTAAAATTCAAGGTTTTTTCGTATAGAAAAGAAACTTCTACTTCAAAGGCTCAAAAGGGGTTAGCAAGGGATTATCTTCCTTATATCTCCAGTGTTTAGGGATTTGAAACAATGCCTGTACATCATCAGCAAGATTTTATCCAAAAGCATGCAACCAGAGATTTTGTGTTCTTTAGATCATCATCCTCCCTTCAATCTCTGCCTAGGCAAGAGAATGGGCAACAAGTTGGTATCATAATGAAAAAAGAAATTTAAAATTTGAAAACAAATATGAGTGAAACGAATGAATTTCTTCAAGACAAACATACCCATTGTATTAAGATAATCATTCAGATGCAAACAAGTTCTTACATGCAAACAATGTTTTGATAAACAAGAAAAATTACAAAAAGCATGAATAAGTTAATAATCTAGGAAGGCTTTCCATCTGGACTTGAATTACCGAAAACATCCTTCAAAACTCAAAGTGACCATCAATCGTGTTTACTCTTCGGCACATGCTTGATTTGAACTTCAAAACCAATGTTCTTGAATGACAAGATACCACTTCTGACCAACTTATGAACCTCAATCTTCAAAGCAAAGCAACCCTCCAAGTCATGCCCAAGAGCACCTTGATGAAAGGTACAAGTCAAATCAACTTTGTAGTACCAATGTATCTTCTCAGGAACCTTCGGTGGAGGTCAGGTCTGAACCAAATTCCTCTGCATCAGGATAGGGAACAACTCTGTATAGGTAATTGGAATTGGATCAAACTGGGTTTTCCTCTGATTAGGAACTTGCTGATTCTGTTGATGAATAGGAGAAACATGATGATTCTGACAATGATTATTTCTTCCTCTGGTTCTCTTCTTGGAAAAGTTGTTATCAAACTTCTTCACACCATTAGTTGAGCTACCATCTTCATATGAACATCCCTTCCCAACATCCTCTTCTAGACGCACTCCCACATTCACCTTGTCAGGAAAGTCATTAGGTGCATTAACCATCACCTTCTCATGAGAGAATGATTTTAGAGTTTCAGTGAAGACTTTTATCATCGCTTCGTCCCTCCTAGAAGGATTGACTTGGGCGGCAACCAGAATTTCAACCAAACCAGTTAAGCGCTCCACACTAGCTTTCAAATTAGTCATCTCTCTACGGAGTTCAAAAACCTCTTGCTTGATATTCTCCATTGTTCTCTTAGCAAGAGTGTTGTACTGGTGAGACCAAAGGAAAAATAAGACTCGGAAAAAGACCTTTGAAAGTGAAACAGAAAAATGTAGAATGATGTATGATATGCAAAAGAGAGTTTTTATTTGATTTTCAAGGAACTCAAGATATTAAGTTGTAAACATCAAAGTTTGAAGATGGAAGATGAATTTTAAATTGGCTCCAAACATTGATCAAGTTATCATCAAGATCAATCATCCATTTTGGTGGATTAGGGTTTTCGCCCTATCAACACCCAAGATCCATTGAGCTTGACGAAACTCGTGATGTTTACAAAGAAAGACCTCCAAATTCCTTCAAAGTCAAGTGAAAAGGGTTTTATGGATGCATGAATGCATGGCTATGAAACAACCACAAACAAGGTCACAAATAAAGTCGAAAGGTTCAACGTCACGAGCATGGAGTCAAGGTAAGGAACACCCCCAAGGTATGTACTAACGGTTTAATCACACCTGTAGAACAAGGTTCTAAGAGTTCCCGGAGTCTACATTCCTCCTTCGGATATTACCAACGTCTTGATTACTCTATAATCAGCAATATTCTCAAGAGAAACTCATCCGAGCGTAGCATCGCGTAACAATTACTTCCGGATTACTCCGTTATAATCTCCGCGCTACACCTAAAAGGCCAAGATGGGTTAGGGTTCTACGGTTCCCAGCTTCTCTGGCTCCCAGGTCGAAAATAATAATGTCTTCCCGATTACTCGGTAAACAAATATTACATTCAAAAGGGCCTTCCACTGAGTGGGGGATCTCATGCTTCCTTCTTCGGGATTACTCCCTCAAAGTTAACATGACTACACCGCCCGTCCTATTCCTAAGTGTAACTTAGTCCGGGTATAGGACTTGTCCTTTGTAAATATTATCAACACCCAAATAATCATAATATATACATATAATCAAACAATCAAATAATGATAAAACAGATAAAACAAATTAGGCTTAACCCACTTAGGGATAGACCAGCAAGAGGTCAATCATTCCCCAACAGAGTCGCCAATTCTGTAGCGGTGAAAATCGGAGATCAAGCTATTAAATAACTTGACTCACCAAAGCAAGAGTCGCCACCGCGCTTTATTATTTCCAAGGGGAAAAGGGAAAAGAGCGAAATAAAACCCTAAAATATGCAATGTAAAATAATACTTAAAAGTAATAAAAATACAATGCGTTTTTGAAAGAGATCAAGAGTTCGGGGGTTGGTTATACAATGGGAAGGTATTAGCACTCAATGCATCTGCGGTACTCCGCAGGAACCTTTTGAAATATCTGTTTTTGGTTAAAATTGTTTGTTTGATTAAAAATGATTCGTTTGGCTAAAAATAGGTGTTGGCGAGATTTTGAAGATGTGATAACCTAATGTCGAAGTTTTGATTTAAAAGGTGTGAGTTTGAAAATGGAGTCTTTTGGGAAAATTATCTTGAGTTTAGAAAAATAGTAAACAAACAAAAAAATGAAAAAAAAGGGTATTCGCACGATCGGATGAGATGTATTTGATGACGTGAAGTCAACAAATTTAAAATTTTCCCTTGGAGTTAAAACCACAGACGGATAAATAAGCTAAGAGTATATCAAACCTTAGGTGAAAATAAATCACAAGCCGACAGCATCATCAAAAAACCTAATGTGAGATAATACTCCAAGCATCAGATAAAGCGCAAAGGCGGTGGATAAAGCTCACGGTGTCAGATAAGAATCCCTGCATCACAAGAGATATACCGACAAAATCTAACAGCACGGGAAACTTATGTGCATCCGCACAATTTTCAGAAGTTAGTTGGAATTAAAAATAAAATCACAATGCAATGAAAACAATATTTACATAGACGGAATTTATTTACCAATGAAATGAGTAAAATATACAGTAAAAAATATTATGTACAAGTATATATTTACAGTACCAAATATTAAATCAAAATAATGAAATACAATAAAGAGGTAAATGGAGAAGTGTAGGAATTATTGATGTACTATGCGGGAATTAATACTTGAAACGAATTTTTTGGAAACCTTCACAGTAACAAATGCGTTAGTAGCATAAGCAGTATAAAAATAAAATGAAGGAAATTGAAATAATTAAAATTTATGTTAATAATCACAAAGTATAAAAAATCAAAATGAACTTGTATGATGCATATGAACAAATGAATATTTACACAAATCAAAATCAAGAATTCATGATATTGTTCAATGTAAACACAAAAAATCAGCATTATCAAAAGTTGGACAACAACGAATAATGCATAAAAAAGCTCATGAAAATCAATTTCCAAGTGATTCTAAACTTATGTACAAACACAAACATCAAACCAACAAACTTTGTAAATTGATTTCAACTCATAAACAAAACTAACACCAAAGAAACTCAAACTATTATTCAATCCAATATTCAAAACATGTAAAGTTGAGCTCAAAGCGAACTAAAATCAATCGAACCAAATCCGGGCAGCAACCAAAAACTTCACGAACTTAAAGTCTCAAAACAAACTCAAGACACGTCTCAATTCATTAAAAACCGAAAACAAATAGCATGCACCTATGTTGCAATTAAAATTGACTTCAAAGTATGGACCAATTTTAGAATTAAGTCGTAATCGATTAAGTTGGAAAAAAAAACCGAGAAGCAACTATACATTAACAATTATGTCCCAAAATTCTAATTCAAACATGTTTCGTAACAAAAGGAGAATAAATCAATACCACAATCAAGTTTAGCTCACTCCAAATTAACACACTTGAATCAAGGTGAAACCATCGACATCTCTTGAACACTACTCAAATAACACGACATCTTAAATTAATTCAAACAAGATTAGTGTCTAGCATTAAAACTCATGATAAACCACCATTAGAAACTCAAGTAGCATCGTAGTGCCATAAAAAATTATCATTCAAATAAAGCCATGCCATAAAGCTTCAAGCTTCAATTTAACAAACAACATGGTTTCCAATTACATTTAATAATCAACATCATGTTATCATTCAAATTGGCAAGCTAAAACTAAAGTCACAAATTCAATAATTATAAACAACACTAATTTAATCAAAACAAAACAATCCTAAAACATATCACTCAAAATTGAATTAACAGCATAACATCACAGTTTAAACAATCAATAATAGAATCGCGAAGTTACCGGACAACTTCGAAATTATCAAAGCAAAGGTGTTGAAGTTGCTGCAGGATTGGTGGAATAACGCTCGCGTACGTAAGCTGCTACTGTTGACGGAAGATTGATGATAATGTTTGTGCGGAGATGAGGTGTTTTGGAGCAGCAGGTAAATCAGGAATACCTAAAGTTTGCTTTACACCAGGAACTTTAAGTGCCATTCCATACGTCACTGAAAACAAATTCGATGTAATCCAGTAACAAAATATTGCCTTTGGAAAAGTCATGGTGAAAGGAACTGTCAGAAAAGCAAGAATCCTCGAGAATTTTTTCATTGTGTCACCCATAGGATTTCCTTCCATTCCTTCTTGCATATTACACTCTACTACTACTAAGAACGATAATGCAGCCAAAACTGGAAAAACGTATAAGGCATCGGGAGTTGTGAGATCGGTAAACCAGAAAGCTCCACCATGCTTGAATGATGGCATTTTTTTAGACATGTTATTTATCGCAAGAAAAAAACTAATGAAGACAGGACCTTGAATAAAAAGTCCCTTCAATGGCGAAAGAGGACTCACACCATATTCTTTGAATAGCTTTTTCATCCGCTTATGACCTTCGGCAACAGCCTCAGGATCAAATGTCTTCCCATCCATCTCTTCCTTTATTGCTTCCAAGTGAGGCCTCATAAGCGTAAGCTTAGAAGTGGTCTTGAGTTGAAGGGAATTTGGCGAAGGGAGTATCACGCGTGTGGAGATGAAGGTTGGTTGAGAGGAGGGGTGCAACGGAGATCTGAAATTGGAATGGAGGATAACAGATCGAAGGGAGTTAATGGTGAAAGAGGCTGTTAGGCAGAGGTGTAGTTGAGATGTTCGGTGGATTGATGGAGGAATTGAAGGGTTAACGGAGAAGGGGGGTTGTGCGAAAGGGGGGTGGAAGGTAATTGTTTGATGATGGAAGGTGACGGGGTAGTAGATGAAGAGAAGAGGAAGTTGCAAGCGAGGAATAGAAACAGATGAGGTACGTGTACAAGGTGAAGGAGAATGAGGGAGTTCTGTTTGTGGACAGAGGATGGAAATTGGTGGTGGTGAATTGAAGATGGAGGTGACGGTAGAAAGGGTGTGGTATTAACAGAGGGAGTATATGATTTTGAAAGAGGAAATAGCAGGGTGATGGAAATTGGTGGTTTGTTTCGAACAGATGGAGTTTGGGGTTGTTGTGTGCGTGAAGAAAATGAAGGGAGTTTGGAAGATGGTTAGCGAAATTGAGGTGAAGGGAAATAGAGGGAGTGTTTGGATGAGTGAGGCGATGAAGGTTGTTAATTGTTTTTTTTTACAAAGAGAATATGGGCCCTTTAAATAGGAAAATGAAGAGAGAGAAAAATGATCTGATTTGCAATTTCGTTTGGCAAATTTCTGTATCTATCCGCAACTATTGACAACAACCAATAGGAAAAAAGCAAAGTATAATCAATGTTTTTATGACCAAAAGCCCCCTGAATAACAAAAATAAAATAAAACCTGAAATTATAAAAAATAACTCAATTTAAAATGATTTTTTTAAATATTTTATGAATAAAAAATAAAGACCCAAAATGACCGAAAATGATAAAAAACGGACGAAAATTTATCCGAAAAAATAAAATGAACACATTAAAATAATCTACATGTCACAAAGATTAAAGAGAAAAAAATATTCAGGAAGTCAAAAATCAAAAATAAAATAATAATAAAAATATCAGACTAAACAGACGTTTAAGGTTAAAAACGAGACTTCGAACTGTACCGAAAAAATAAAGCGAGCATACCGTCATAATCTACGCGAAGCGCAGATTCATAAAATGATCGGTAAAAGGTGAAAACTTGAAATATTTTCTCGCTACTTTCCCGCATAGTGTCGAATCGCTTTTAACAGTCTGTCTATAAAACCGAAATATTTTATTATCGACATATAAACAACTTGGAGCAGTGCAAGAAAATAGTAAACAGATAAAAATGAATGAAATGAAATGTCGGGTATGTTGCAACTGAAAGACGATGCAAACTTTGATTTAAACTGACTTTTTCTGGTCAACTTAAATACGACTAATGATGCAAAATGTGATGAATGAAGATATTTACTAATGATTGTGACCAAATAACAAAATATGATATGAAAGTGCGACTAAAACATATTAGGGGCGAAATTCAGGGTGCAACAGTTGTGCCTTGATGAATCAGTCTTCGAGAATCCACAATCAACCGTACTTCTGGCTTGGGAGACTCAAAACTTTAATTGAGGCGCGACACCTGATGCTCTTGATTCAGACCTATCTCTGCACATGAAACAAAAGAAAACATGAACATACACCTTTGTATGCGATTTGAAATTAGTGATACATATGCTAAAAATGTTCAAAACACTTGACAATCTTCGCATAGTCAAAGCTCGAAGGTGAGACGTTAAAACCGACCGTATTTCGTGACCTTGACTTATCTTAAAAATGCAAAAATAAAAAAGGGATATTAGGTCAAAAATTGGGGTACAACACTATTGAGGTTCAGATCCCCTCTTTGAGAATCATGAAGGATGCAGGTTTGAGTGAAGAGATTGGATTCAAACCCGACTTGATCAGTTAAACTTAATTGACAAAAAGAGACTTACCGTTGTTTTCCATGGTCATACGTATCAAAAACGGATGATCAAAGCTTTCAATAAGAAAGTCAGACGCCAAGTGTATCAAGTTGGAGATCTAGTGATCAAGCGCATCATCTTGCCACAAAGTGATCCCAGGGGCAAATGGACTCCTACCTATGAAGGACCATTTGTAATCAAAAACATCTTTTCTGGTGGGGCAATGATCTTAACCACCATGGATGGCGACGACCTGCCACACCCCACGGACGCAGACATAGTCAAAAGATACTACGCATAAGAGACCCTCTAGGTTGACACACCTAGGCAAAAAAAGGGCATCCCAGCGAACCAAAAAGGTTCGGGCAAAAATTAGGGATAAAATAAAAAAAATCTGTACACCCGGCAAGTTGAAAACCCGAAAGGGCGACTTGGGTAAAAAAAGGTTCCCGGTGGATCGAAAACCCAAAAGGGCGGTCCAAGCAAAAGTTAGGGAATTAAAGCGTATGACTATGTCTCGTCGGATCACTTTGAGGACAATCTCTTCACCAACAAAACAGGGGCTCCTGATCAATCCAATCATCTTCGGACGAAGCAACAAATGGATAAGATATTCAGAGATGCGAAGGCTATAGTAGAATGGGAACCCCATGGGATTTTTTTACACATAGCTATTCTTTGTATAAAATTTTCTTATGACACCATCCTCTTACTAGGATGTCTGTCTCCTTTGTATACAAATACTTATTCAAAGTAAATACAAAGATACCTCTTTAAAGTGCAGAAAACCATTTATCCTTTTCTTTTTTACACTTGTGTTTTATTTGCAAAAACGTCCAATGATTCATTAATGAACATATGCATTTGAACATAATTACTGTTTACAAATAAACAAAATGGAAAAGAACGATTACTGATAGGTTGAAATAATATGAAAACTTCTTTAGGCTATTCCATGAGCAATCCCTATAGTACGTCATTAAGATCCCCAACGGAGCCAAAACTTTGGACTACAGATCCCCAGCGGACCTGAAACTTCCAACTACCAATCCCCAGCGGAGCTAAAACTTCAAACTATTAATCACCAGTGGAGACCTTTCAGTTTCCCCAATTTCCCCAATTTCCCCAACAAGCTATCTTAAAGCCCGAAAATCAACCGGATAACAATTAACTTTTGTATCTTCCCAACCTCGGATAACTCCCCAGTAGGGTGGCAGACGACCAAAACTCTTGAACTTTGTTCCAAACATGAATAAGTTTTTCTCACAGAGTCTTCACTACTCCCCAGCAAGATAACTTTCTTCCCCACAGAGTTTTTGTTTCTCCCCAACAGATTGAAGATTCTCATTCTTAATTCCCAGCAGAAGTCATCAGTGTTCGCTGGATTCCCCAACAGAATGAAGATTTTCATTCCCCAGTAGAAGTCATCAAAATTCTCTGGATTCCCCAAGCAGATTATTCAAGCAGTGTTTGGCATTACTCTCACAACGGAATTTTTGCCAATACTCCAACTTCAAGACATGAAGAATCCCTATATCCCCAAAGAAGTCTCCAAGGATTTCTTATCCTCAGCAGTCAAGGATTTATTTTCCCCGGCAGCAGTCAAGGATTTATTTTCCTCAGCAATATAGCAAATCAGCTTACATGCGCATACATTACATCTATATATCATAAACATTGATAAAGCACATTTATTGCATCATACATTTCATGCAACATAAATTTGTGTTTCAGCTAACATTTTACCTCTTTCAGGATAAGATTAACAGCTACCATTAACAATATGCAATCAGATACAGTACAGATACACTCCAGACACGGAAGTCATTCTGTTACTCATTCAGATCCTAAGTTCATGATACAGTTTAGATATGCTCCGGACCCGGTAGCCATTCTATTGCTCATTCAGATATCGACTCAAGATACAGTACGGATACACTCCAGATACAGATGCCATTCTGATACTTATTCAGATTCTAGCCCAGATACACTCCAGATACGGATGCCATTCTGATACTTATTCAGATTCCAAGGTCATGATACATTTCAAATATGCTCCAGACACGATTACCATTCTGTCACTCATTTGGATCTCAACTTCAAGATACAGTCCAGATACACTCCAGACACGGAAGTCATTCTGTCACTTATTCAGATTCAAGTTCAAATACACTCCAGACACAGAAGTCATTCTGTCACTTATTCAAATTCAAGTTCAGATACACTCCAGACACGGAAGTCATTCTGTCACTTATTCAGATTCCAGTCCAGATACGCTCCAGACACAGATGCCATTATGTCGCTTATTCAGATTTCAAATTCTAGATACGGTACAGATACACTCCAGACACATAAGTCATTCTGTTACTCATTCAGATTCAAATACAGACACAACTCGGATACGCTCCAGACACAGATGCTATTCCATTGCTCATACAGATTCAGTCTCCAGATACAGTTCAGATACGTTCCAGATACGGACACCATTCTGATACTCATTCTCTTGACTCACAACTTACAATTCAACAAACATTCTTGGATGGCATCTACAATCCCATCTCCAACAAGATTATATCACCTCTCTAAATGGTATCTTTAAGCCCATTCCCTCAACTACACTTTGTCAAGTGCAAATTTATGGGCACTATAGTGTCTAATCATATTTTACCTTCGAGTCACGAACGACAAAACTCACCAATCTAACTCTTAAGGTTCAAGAAGATTGAACAGGGGCAGCTATTGTACCCCAAAATCTGCCCTTTCATTTATCAAGATTTTTCTCACAAGACTTCTTGGACTCAAGACAAGATTAGGGTTTGATCAGCTCAAGAAACTTCATCTTGCACTGATAACCTAAAATTAGGGTTTGAGTTTTCATAAGTATTTTTGGACCATCAATGCTTCATGTGACTTTCATACACCATCTTGGATCCCTAAGATTGCTCATGTTAAGTTTCAAGCCTTGAACCACATTTTTGATCAGTCAATTGGACAGTTGACCTAAAAATCAGCTGTATTGAGGAAAAAGTCAACCATGGCCAATTTACAGTCAAACTTCATAAATTTTTATCCACAA